AAGTATGCTCTCTTGTAGGCAGCACCGGGATTGGGGCCTGCTGTTTTATCCAGTCTGAAAGTGCCTATCTTTTAATTTATGTGTTTGGAGTATGTTTCATACAGTTACCGATATGGTTGGCTTTAGGTCTCCCCTTTTGCTACCCTGTTTCCCAGGTGTCCCATTTGGTTTTATATTCTTCCATTCTTCCTTTTCTCTCTTAATTTTGGCTAACCAAGGGGTGCCTGGGTGGCTCAGTCATTAAGTGTCTGCCTTCAGCTCAGGTCATGATCCCAAGGTCTTGGGATCGAGCCCCGCATCGGGCTCTCCCCTCAGCAAGAAGCCTGCTTCTCCCTCTCCCACTCCCCTTGCTTGTGTTCCCCTCTCTCGCCGTGTCTCTCTCTGCCAAATAATAAATAAAACCTTTTTAAAAAAATTTTTGGCTAATGAAAAAAGTATTTTAATACTCTATTTTGTGTCTTTTAGTGCCATGTTGGCTACCCTCTCTGTGTTGTTACTCGCCAGCTTCCCTGAGCTTTTCGGGAGGCATCCCTAACTCACCACACTCTCCTTGGATTTAGTATCATATCGTTCTGCGTACGAGAACTATACGATAGAAACATCTACTCACCCCAACTTCTACACTGCACTTGTTGCATATTTTACATTGACATATGCAATAACACTGGCCATGCATTCTTATTATTTTTATTTTAAATACTTCTCTTTCAAAGAAATTAAAAGATGATCTTCCACTTACCTAAATACCTACCGGCACACCACTCTTCCCTGCGGATCTGTATTTCTAACTGTGGTAAGATCCACATGCTTGAAGAATTTCCTTTCAGCATTCTCTTTCAGAACACAGGTGTGCTGGTTATACATTCTCTAAGCTTCCATTTATCTGAAAATACATTAATTTCATCTTCATTTTCGAAAGATATTTTTTTCTAGGTAGAATTCCAGGTTGAGAGGCTTTTTTTTTTTTTCCTTTTTTACGACTTTGGATATGTTCTACCATTATTTTCTAACTTGCGTTGGTTCCTTATTTCAGTGAAATAATGTCAGCCATTATTCACTATTGTTTCCTGTATGCAGTGTGTCCTTTTCCCTCTGGCTACTTTCAAGATGTTTCCACTAGCTTTAGTTTTCAACAGCGTGGCTACGATGTATCTAGGTTAGTTTTTTTTAATATTTGTCCTGCTTGGAATTCGTTGCTTGAAGCATCTTAGACCTGTAAGTCAACATTTGTCCTCAAATTTCAGACATTTTTGGCCATTATATCTTCAAATATTTGTTCTGCTCCATTCTTACTCTCCCACTGCTATGGGACTTCAGTTAAATCTGATAGGCTATCTGATATTATCCCATAGGTTACTGAAGGTCTAGTCAAATTTTTTTCTCTGTGCTCATCAGTTCAATAATTTCTATTGCTCTGTCTTCAAGGTCTGGTGAAGCTCTTTTCAGATATGGTAATTTTCAGTTCTAGAATTTTTATTTGGTTCCTTCTTATACTTTTCATTTATCTTCTGAGATCTCTTATTGATTCACTCATTATGGCCGTGTTTCCTTGGAATTGGTAGTTGACAATTTTTTTCTTAAAGGGCCAGAGAGTAAATATTCTCAGCCAGCCCAGACCTCTAGTCTCTGTTGCAAACACTTAACTCTTGTCTTTACCACACAAAAGCAGCCACAGAACAAATGTAAACGAATAAGTGTGGGTTTGTCCCCATAAAGCTTTCTTTATAAAAATGAATGGCAGCCGATTGTCTGCTAATTCCAAAATCTGGGTCATTTTAGATTCTAATTGACTCTTTTTTTAAAAAATGGGTCACATTTTCCTATTTCTTCACATGTCCAGAATTTTTAAAAACTTGCTGGATGTTATAAATTACACATTTTAGAAGGTCTGGAATATGTCGTCTTCCTTTCAGAGGCATTACATTTTGTTCTTACAGGCCCTTCAGTCCCGGGTGCATCCTCCTGTCAGCTTTGGTCTTACACTTCATGAGGATGGGTCTGTGTGGGGGAGTGTCCAAAGTCCAGCTATGCCAGCAGCCTAGAACCCTTTTTCCCTCCTCAGGTCCGTGAGACCATGGCTCTGCTTGGGTTCCACTTTGGTGCCATTTGGCAGGAAAGTGGCCGTGAGGGACTCCATGGCAATGGTGGGGTTCACGTCACAGTTCCCTCTTCTTGAATGATACAGTGCTGCCCTGCCTCTTACTCAATGCCTGGAAACACCTTTTTTGCACATTCTGTCTGGTTTTAAAGTTGTTTCAGCAGTAGGATAAGTTTGGGTACCAAAATTTTGCCATGGCTGGAAGCAGAAGTCGTCGTTGATTTCCCCCCCTTCAATTATTTCATCTTGCTCAGGGAATATCCATTGCTTCTAAGTTGTTGTTGTTGTTGTGAATTGACTTTATGGTTTAAAACAGTGTTAGGTTCACAACAAAACCAAACAAAAGGTACAGAGATTCTTCACATACTCCGGACCTCATTCATGCATAGCCTCCCACGTGATCATATTGTCAGCCCCCACCAGGTGGTACCTGTCTTTCAGTGGATGAACCCTCACAGACACGCCAGCCATCATCACCGGGTCCACAACAGACATCGGGCTTCACTATTGGTGTCGCACATTCTGTGGGTTTGAGCAAGTGTATAATGACACGCACCCACCAGTATAGTATCCTACAGAGTATTTTCACTGCCTCGAAAATCTTTTGTATGCTGCCTATTCACTTCTCCCTCCTCCCTAACACCTAGCCTCCAGGATCTTCTTACTGTCTCCATAGTTTTGTCTTTTCCAGAGTGTCGTATAGTTGGAACAACACAGAATATAGCATTTTAAGTTGGCTTCTTTCACTTAGGAATATGCATTTAGGTTTCCTCCATGTCTTTTCATGGCTTGATAGCTCATTTCTTTTTAGCACTGAATACTATTTTATCGTCTGGATGGACCAGAGTTCATATATCCCTTCACCTACTGAAGGACAGCTCCACGTAGCTTCCAAGTTTTGGCAATCACGAGTAAAGCTGCTAGAAACATCCATGTGCGGATTTTTGTGTGGACGTAACTTTTCAATTCCTTCGGTGAATACCAAAAAGTGTGCTTGCTGGTATACAGCAAAGCAGTTGACTTTCGTACATTAGCTTTGTATCCTACAACCCTGCTGAAGTTGCTTATTGGTACCACAAGGGTTTTGTCTATTTTTCTAGATTGTCTACAGAGGCAATCATGTCATCTGCAAGAGAAAGTTTTACTCTTTCCCAATCTATACAACTTTTAATTCCTTTTCTTTTCTAATTGCATTAGCTAGGACTTCCAGCACCGTGTTGAAAAGTGGTAATGAGAGGGAACATCGTTGCCTTGTTCTTTATTTTTAAATTATTATTGTGCATATCTTATCTTAGCAATAGATTCACTTTCTGATACTCAAAACATAGGTTGGTTCTGATGTACAGGAGGTACAGTGACTGGTCCTAGGGATGCAGGCTGTGCAGAGAGATGACCTCTCGCAGGAGATAAGGGTTAAGGTGAACTTCAGTCCCGCCTCTATCTGAATTACCATTCTCCTTTCCTGGACAGAGGCAAAAAGGAAGGAAGAAGAACGGGCATTTGTTCTATGTCTCTTATGTGTGGGGCAGTCTCCAAGTTACCTTTATATGTCATTTCATGCAATCTTTAAAACAAACAGTAAAATGGTGATGATGATTATACTACCCAGTTTATAGAAAAAGTGGCCAAGCCTTTGAAAAGTAAAAACAAGAACACTCTATAGCTATTAAGCTGGTAGGGCTAGGATCTAGAAGCTAATTTTTCTCCCCTTTCTATCATGCTACCTTTCTTGCCTTATTATGGTGATTTTTATGATGACCAGTATCTTTCAGTGTGTATGTTACATGTCCCTTTCCAATCACTGGCTCTCTGAGCCTTTCATATTATTTCCACTTAGACCCTTCTTGGTGAGAGGTGGGTGAGCTGTCCTCCCTCTCCTCGCCCTCTATGATTCAGGAGATCAGGGGTATCCTGAGTCATGGGTGTGGCAAGATCTGGGGCGCAGTGTAAAGACAGAGAGAAGATGCACTCCAGTGGAGGGTTGATTAATGAGCCATCGGCCGACTGTGGTCTGCCAGCAATGAGTGCAGCAACCTGCCTGGATTTGTGCCTGTGCCGGCGAGGGGCGAGGCGGTCAGTGATGTCTCACCTGTTCCTGTCTCCTGTGATCCTTCCTAGCCACGATCTCCATCCAGCCTGGGGCTTTTCCCTACACATCTAATCTCTCAAAGCAGGACTTGCTGTAAGATACACAATGGAATCATTTTTCTGATTTGAACAGCACATTTTTCCCCTTACTACTTGGGCATTTGGCTACTATTTCAGGTGCCCTTGGTGAGAAACCAGTGTCCTTTTTTGAAGGGGGGTGAGAAAGGGTCAAGTCCTTGTGGTATGAGAAGGGATTTGGAAAACTCAGAGGTGGGGAGGTGGGTGAAAAATACACATTACCTACTTGCCAGACTTTGGGTGGAGCCCTTTACATATATTTCTCCAAAAAAAAAGAAAAGAAAGAGAGAAAGAAAAGGAAATGAAAGGAAAGTGGTACAGAATCACTAATTATAGAAATTCTGACAATCCTTATTTCCTGAAAAGTAGTTCTTGCCCACACGTGTCCCTCAATTAAATTTATATGACTTTCCTCCCTTCCTTTCCTCATATCCTTTAGTCCCCTTCTCTCTTTCTATACTTGTTCAGCATGAGGCATATTCAGAATAAAACCTCATTTGCTTCTATTCATTTAGTTTGAAATAAATTGTAATTTGGAGGGGAGCTCTGTTGAGGTCAAAGTCTGAACCGTCTCTGATACAAAGGTTTCTAAAGGACAGTGGCGACAACCTTTGTTTCTTTCTGGGAAGAGGTGGGGTACACATAAATCCTTTAAAGAGAGCCAAGAAATGTGGGATGGGATCATCCAAGGGTCCGTGTGTGAGCGTGAGAGTGGAGCCTCCCTAACCTGAAACAGGCCTCTTTTTCTCTGCAGACCTTTGTGATGACAACCCGCCGAGCCTCAAGCACGCCGCGTACAAAGCCCTCGAGTACAGGACCGGCACGATGCTAAATTGTGGATGTGAGAGAGGCTTCCGCAGGCTAAACAGCGTCATGCGTTGTGCAGGAAACTCTAGCCACGCTTCCTGGGAAAACAAATGCCAGTGCGTCAGCACATGTAAGTGTTTCCTTTTGTAACATGGAGGGAAGGAGAAGAACTCCAGCAGGAGGACACAGAGCGTCAGCCCTACAGACGAAAACCCACCTGCCCAAACTCTGCAATAACTCACCTCAACGGTTCCTGGAAAATCATTCACTCAACAAATATTTAAGGTGTGCCTCCCGGTTCCAAGGACTGATCTAGGCCCTCAGGATACCCAGCGCTCAAAGAATTTATATTTTGCAGGGGGAGAGGGAACAGACATTATACTAATCGTTACTGAACACTTTGAAAATAAGTCGAATTCATGGCAATATAAATGTACTTCATGCCACCAAACTACACATTAAAAATGATTCACAGGGTATGTTTTATGCTATGTATATCTCATCACAATTTTTTAGACATAAAAACTTAAAAAGACTGGTCAGAATGAGCCCATATAAAGAATCAGAAAAATAATAACCATCCCGGTGAGTATCTACCCATAAGGCTACACCAACTCTTAAGCATTTTGCTTTCGGAAGCTCCCACCTCATGCCACCCACAGGCTGCCTGGTGCCAGCAGTCCATCCTAGCTCCACCCCCAGCACTATGGCGACCTGATTTCCCAACAACTCCCCAAGATGCCTCCGTGCCCTTGCCTCTCAGGGTCCATCCCCACAATCCTAAGGAGGAAGCTCTGGGTAGAAAAGTGGAGGTAGTGGGCGAGACATTTCCTTCCCTGATAAGAGTAAAGAGGGAAGAGAAGCTCATATTACTGAGTTGAAGAGTCTTATCTATTACGGATATTTTCTTTTTTTTTTTAAGATTTTATTTATGTATTTGAGAGAGAGAGAGAGCACAAGTGGGGTGAGGGGCAGACGGAAAAGCAGGCTTCCTGCTGATCAGGAATCCCGATGCGGAGCTCGATCCCAGGACCCAGGGATCATGACCTGAGTGGAAGGCAGACCTTAACCGACTGAGCCCCCAGGTGCCCCTGTTACAGGAATGTTCAATGTGGCTGCCATGAAGTCTTTGAGACATTTCTTCAGAGGACAAATCCATGGTCAAGCAGAAAGGATTGTCTGCCCAGGGTCTTCCCAGCCCAATGTCAGGAGCTGGCATTCCAGAGTGTGAGAAATATTCCCCCAAAGAGCCCCCACCCCAGATGCCCCCTGCCCCCCCACACTCGTTCCACTACCGCAAGACCCTGGCTGCCCTGGGGGAGCGAGGGGAGTATCAAGCCCAAAGGCAGGTCAGGCTGGTGTGGGGCGGGGCTCCGAATCTGTGGGTGGCGGGTGCGGAGCAGAGAGGAAGAGGAGGAAGAGGAAGCTGTTCCCTTTGAATGGCTTATTTCTGGACTTTATAAGCTGGCTTGGGAGCCTCATGGCTCTCACTGCAGGACAGGATTGGAACCGGCAGTGGACTAAGGGTCCTGAACCCCATCGCTGCTGGCGGGGGCGAGCACAGAAGCCTGAGCACCCCCACCCTCACCTACCGACCCCCGAGACAGTAGGCCGGTCGCCTTCCCAGAGTGGAATGTGGAGGGCATGACCCCCCGAGGGGCTTTCAAGACCTAAGTTGCGCTGACTTAGCTCTTCTGTGCTCTCCACAGAGTCCTGAAAGCTCTCTCACAAGCCCAATTTCTCTACCGGGTCCCTTGTCTCTGTGATACTGGAACATGGCGAAAAGTGGTGGGTCTGTTTGTCCTTCAATGCTTCAGCCCTGGGGACGGGGTCTGGGAGCTACAGCGAGTTCTGTGCCGGCCACCCCAGGCACGGGCTGCAAGGTCTGAAGACCGCTGCTGACCCGCTGCCTTTTCTCCCAGCAGACCCTCCCCAGACCCTCAGCGGGAACCCCGAGCCCGGCTCGGCGGTGCCCATACTCAGCTCCTTGGCTGAAGTCTTCACAACAGAGAGGAGTGATAGGAGGCTTCCCTCGTCCTTGCTCTACGACGGAATCCCTTACCTCTTAAGTGAACTGCTGTAGGGAAACGGAATTCCTCGCAGCCATCGTGCCCACGCCCGCGTGCAAGGTTGGCAGGTGGGTGGGCAGAATGGAGTTCCGTTTGGGGAAACCCACACGCACCAGACAACCTCTCGGTTCCTTCAGAAACACGTTCTGGGGGCGCCTGGGTGGCTCACTCTGTGAAGCATCTACCTTAGGCCAGATAATGACCCCAGGGTCCTGGGCTGGAGCCCCGTGTCGGGCTCCCTGCTCAGCGGGGAGTCTGCTTCTCCCTCTGCCTCTGCCTGCCTCTCTGCCTGGTTGTGCTCTCTCCCTCCTTCTCTCTAAATAAATACAATCTTAAAAAAAAAAAGAAAGAAAAAGAAAAGAAACACATTGTGAGTCACTGATGCTCATGGGGAGGTCCCACTGGGAGCACCCCAAGGGCAGGGGGTGTGTGTGGCTCCTCTTTGTAACCCCTGCACCCCCATACTGCCTGGCGGTGGAAAGACACACGTCGAATAAATGAATACCAAAGAGCATCTTCTATTTTAAGCCTCTGTGAAGTTATTTGCTTCTGTCTATACCCTCTAGCCTCCAAGAGAACAGAAAGACAAGTGACTCCCAAACCCGAGGAAGAGAAGGCAATGCAGAGCCTAACGCTGCCCGGGGACCAAGGGAACCTTCCAGGTAAGAGGCGGGTCTGCACAGCGGTCTGGCCGCCTCCCAGGCCGACCCTGCTCCTGCGGGCGCACCCTGTGCCCCCCGCGGGAGGGACTTCTGGTCCACCATCCTCTTCTTACAGGATGTCAGGGAAGCGAGAACATCTGTGCGGTGTTTACAGGCTCTAGGGCCACTAGCCTTTCCAGCCTGCGCAGGCTCTGGGCTGCCTCCCGCTCCAGGAGCTGAGCCCAGCAGCCCTGGGCTCAGGTCAGCTCAACCCGGTGCAACTGAACTGAGTTCAAAAGCATGTATGATGCGACTCACGGTGCCCGGCCCTGCAGACCGCGGTGTCAGCTCTCGAGGAAATGCGCTTGTTTTCCCTTCAGTACAAGACAACAACTGCCAGCCAAGCACCTTACCTCAAAATGTTGCTTATAAACAGGGGTGTGAGACCTGCTGGGCTATGCTGGGGAGCACTAAGGCCACCGACAGACAACTCCAAGCTAATGGGATGCGGGGGAGCGAGCAAGACTCCAAACGAGCCTCGCTCAGATCAGGTCCTCAGGTCACGAGGACACAGAGCCCGTTAGGAAAACCTGAGTTTTGGGGGGACCTACCAACTTTTACAAGACCCTCTTGTCCTGTGCTAATTTTATTATTTTAAGTTAAACAGAAGTTAAAAGACGGTTACACTCACATTTAGGAGTAAGGTCTTACTCAGGATCTTTCTACTGATCACCTTTTTAAAACTAATTTTAATTTATTTGCAGCTTCCAATATATATAAAAAAACAAAAGACAAATCGAGGGGCACTGTTGCAATATCGTACTTTTTATCTTGGACCTCCAACTTCGGGCTGACTGGCATTTCAAAACACATTTAATTGTTCATTTTCCTCTCTTTTTCTCATATTACCCTGAACAGTTATTTCAAGGTTTTTACGGAAGTCAAAGTTTGTTGTCCTTATTCAGGAGATGACCAGCCACTGGTTCTGGCAGACCCTCTTAATGGGATGTTTTCATTTAAGAGAAGCAAACGTCATTTAAACAGGTTCCGACCATTACAGATTTTATTGGCTATAAAAGAAATTTTCTTCTGAGACTAAACCTAAGTTCAGCCGTGATCTGGAAGGTGCTACACTAGAGCCGATCCCGTGGGACAGGTCAGCTCTCCTCTTGCTGCCGTGGGCTTCCCTCTGGGGCAGGGGGTTTATGTGTAAGACACTTTTAAAGGTCATATTGGGTATTCGGACCGTGGAAGGTCTGGAAGGCCAGAACCCACGTCTGGGGAGAGAGGGTACATGTGCTTCCATATATGCAGATGTGGGGTTGGGTAGGGCACCCCGAGAATAAAACAGAGCAGGACATGATCCCTGGGGTCAAAGACCATTCAGGCTTGGCCTTTAGCTGGGCGAGTGGAAGGTTTGAGGCCATGGAGAATTTCAGAGGCCTTGGCAGGGCTCACACAGAGCAGGCTTTAGGCATGGTTTGATCAGAGATCAGGTTCCATTTCCCCGAGCTTCTCTCAGCCCTCCCCTCCCTCTGGTGTTGGCTCTATCTCCAGTTCTTCCACCACAGCCCCAAGAGGACCAGCAGCCACCACCCGAGGAAGGACCTCCTCGCTTAGAATGGACACCGGGGGTGGGCTTCACCTTCCCTTGGCCGCAGTGGGCTTGAGCCTACCTTTATCCCTCAGCTGAGACTGCCCCCCTCACTGCTAAGAACTTACGAGAACCCTCGCCATCACAAGGAGCCGCTCATTGCCCTGGGCTCCTCAGTGACAACACTCAGGACATTGTGCCTCCAGACGCCGTCTTCATTCAATCGCTCGCCCCCTCCCGCGGGAGGGGCAGGGTCTGGGTGCCTTCCCTCGCTCGAAGTGCCTGGCAATGTTCCTGACACACAGACTTCTCAGCGCAAATTGGTGCAATAAAAGAAAGAAAGAATGAACAGTAAGATCCGATGTCCGGTCTCCAGCAAGAGGCGACTCGGGTTCACGGGACGCCTTCCAAACTTCCTGTCCCTGTTCCAGGTCACTGCAGGGAGCCTCCTTCCTGGGACCACGAAGATTCAGAGAGAATCTACCACTTTGTGGTGGGGCAGACGGTTCACTACCAGTGCGCGCCGGGATTCAGGGCCCTGCGGAGAGGTTCTGCCGAGAGCGTCTGCAAAACTGTCTCAGGGAAGACCCAGTGGACGCGGCCCCAGCTCAAGTGCATAAGTGACAGGGAGGACGGTCAGTTCCCAGGTACGGAGGCACCCGCGTGGGCCTGTGCCCCTGCTTTTCCCACTGGGCTGCGCGGAGTGGAATTCCTGGCCCGCCAGCTCCGTGACTGCAGGCAAACCACTCCATCTCCTCGGGCCTCTGTTTTCTCTCATTCTAGAAAATACACCAGATACACTAAGGTCCCTATCACCTCAGGCTCCCTGCACCCTGAGTGCGGATAAACGGTAGAAGGTGGAAGAGGAGGGAGATCTCTCGAGCGTTCACTGGAGACAGTGCTGCCCCTTCCTAGCCGATCCTGACATCTGACCTCTTCTAAGCTACCAGAACTTTCTCTCATTCAAAAGGGCAAGGCAGCCTGCCACACATGCACTTCTAATTACGGATATGTAACGTGAACTCATTATGTGTCCAGCGGTCCACCGTTAGCACACTCCTTCTCCTCGTGCAATGCCCCTCCGAGCTTTGGTAAAAGTGCCGGTGTGCAGGGAAGGGGCTGAGTCAAGCAGGGATGTGATCATGTGTATGTGTGCGCACGTGCGCACACACACACACTCATTCAGACATGCGTGCACCCCGCCTCTGCGGAGGTCTACGATTTTCATTCTGAAAGCGTACTACTATTTTTACAACCCAAAGCCGCTCAGATTTAAACATCAGTGTTACAGGTTTCTCAGCTCACGCCCGTTGGTTCAGAACTCTCCCCGGAGTTTCCCGGGGTGAAATCTGAAACCGCCCCCATACACTGAGAGCGCAGGGAGAGACCAGAGAAAGAGGCGGGCCACCGCTGGCAGGTGGCGGTTTGAATAAGCAGAGGAACTTACACATGGGGCTAGTGTGGGGCAGCAGAAAGAGGCATGGACACCAGAGCTCGGCCACCGGATCTTACAAGTTTATAACGAAGCCTTAACGGGGTTAGTCACTGATGCTCTGCAGGTGTTCTCGATGTCCCATCGATAGCTCCAGGCTGTGTCCTTGGAGCAGCCTCTGGGAGCGGGAAAGGCAAGCGGGGCCCGTATTCTGAGCACAGGGACGGGGGTGAGGGGTCAGCTGGCACTTGCATCCTTCTGATGACATTCCCCGACCGTGTGCTGGCAGGGAGCCACGTGGCTGGCCGGGCGCCTGTTGCATGTGTCCCCTCCCGTGTCAGAGGATGGGAGGGCAGGGTCCCGGGTAACTGGAAACACCCACAAAGGGCAGGGAACCTGTCCCTGAGAGAAGCTGTCCTTTTGTGCGTTTCTACTTCATTTGCTGTTTCGGGGCACTTGGGCACGGACGACCTGTTTCCAAGCCACTGGTGGAGACCAGGGCTGACCAGGAAGCTGGGGAAGGAGAGGCTGCTCGGGGTCCCACAGCGCCAGGGTCAGGGTCAAAAGTCCCTCTCGCCCGGGGGTGCTGGGGCCGTTCCCGCGTGCCTGTGGCCTGTTGTAGAGGGGCAGGACCCCCAGACCACGTCGGAGAAGGGCGATCCGCACCCCACTGAGGGTGGCCGGGTCAGCTGAGGACCCCTGCGTGCCCCACCTTCATCACTCCCTCTCTCCAGCAGATGACGAAGAGGAGCCTGAAGCAAGCACCCTCGCGCCCCCTGGGAGAGACACTTCCCGTCCCTTGATGACGGCAGGTACTACAGGTAAGGCTGGCGTTTCTGGGACGGCGATGAGAGCTCGGCCCTGAAGCCACCAGGCAGGAGAGGGAAGACAGGGGGCCTGGGGCAGCCCCTCCCACAGCCGGGTCAGTGAGGCCACCCGCCCCTCTGACCTCCCAACCCTCAAACAAGTCCAAAGCAGGGCCCCTGGGTCTCAGTCAGCTGGGCTTCTGTCTCTTGGTTTCGGCTCAGGCCGTGATCTCAGGGTCATGCGATCGAGCCCCGTGTCCAGGTCTGTGCTGGATACAGTGGGTTTAAGTTTCTCTCTCTCCCTCTGCCCTCCCCTCTGCTCTGTCTCTCTTTCTCTCTCCAATAACTAAATAAATCTTTACAACAAATAAACATGTCAAAAGCAAGGGTCAGGACCAGGAGAAGCCAGGCTGAGGACGGCACGTCGACACGGAAGGCGGCGTGCTGGTCCGTCCCTCGCCCTCCCCCAGGCTCCGAGGCTCTAGCTTGCGAGAGGCCCCACCCTCCCCAGCGAGCGCGGCCTGATACGCAGCACAACCGAGCACCTTCTCCTCTCTCGTGCACAGATTCCCACAAGCACACAGAAGTGGCTACCACGATGGAGTCCTTCCTGTTCACCTCCGAGTACCAGATAGCAGGTGGGTCAGGGGCTCGTGGCTCCCGTGGACAAAACGCAGCCCAGAGCCTGTGGGATATGTTGCTTGGTGGTCTGGGGCGACAGACGGTCGGTCGGTTGGCTTAAAACGACCCCCTCCTGACCCTGTCTAGTAGTCCTACGAGTAAAAGACTAACCCAGACACGAACGGCACAAACTCACCGCCGTCGGTCCCAGTGAGTGCGGTGGGAGGGCTCAAAGCAGCACCGAGAGCTCCTCCAGGACGGACCCGCAATGACAAAAGATCCCATAAACCTCACAGTGGTTTCCTGGTAGGAGAGAAAAACGGGCTTTGAGAGGAGGAGAAAAAACCGAGCTCACAGAAACAGAGAGCAGAGCGGGGGTGGCAGGGACTGTGGGTGGGGGAAGCTGGGAGACGCTGGTGGAAGGACAGAGACTCCGGTTAAAGGACGACTCGGTCCCGGGGAGCTGGTGGACAGCGTGGGGACTCTGGTTAACAGTGGGGTGTCGTAGGCCCCGAAACTGGCTAAAGGAGTAAATGTGCAGTGTTCTCACCGCGAAAAGGACCCGGCAGACAGGAGGGCTGGTGGGAGGTGTGAGGGCTGCGGCCCCAGCGTGGTGTGATGTGTACTCACGGCAGACCAGTGCCGCGCACGTCGTCGGCGTCCGCCCTGCTACACGACTGCGCATCCAGAGAGCTTGGGGGAGAAAAGGGAAAACGGGCTGAGAAGAGCATCCAGGACGGCTGGTTGGCCGGGTGGGGGGCAGGGGGGGCAGGGGCTCCCGCCCGGGGAAGGCAGCATTTGGGGAACTGGAACACTTTCAAGAGAGGCTCGTTGCCCCTTGTGTTCCGAGCTTTCCTTCACCCATCGCAGGCCTCCCCGGTAGCCTCCTTAACCGAGGCCCCTGACCCTTGGTGGAGAGCGTGCTGGTCGGTTAGCTCAGCCTTCCAGAAAGAGCCCAGCCCCTCATGGAAAGGTGCCAAGACCTCTCCCACCTCCCTGGGCTCCAGCCCCGGGCCCGAGCCTCCCAGGAAAGCATGTCGGGGTGGGAGCTGCACTCGAGAAGGGAAGGCGGAAAGGCCAGCGCTCTGGTCTTCAGGAAACCCCTGCTCTGGGGGAATTTTCTCAGGCTGCTTGGGCAGCCCAACCCCGCAGGAGCCTTAATGAACGGCTTCTCTGTTGACAGTGGCTGGCTGCGTTCTCCTCCCGGTCAGCGTCCTCCTCCTGAGCGGGCTCACCTGGCAGCGGAGATGGTGAGTCCCGTGGGGTCAGGGTCACGAAGCCCTGGCCGGAGCTGGCAGGCGGAGCCCGGTGTGCTAAGAGCTCAGGCAGAGAAACCCTCACCCTATCCTCCTACTAACCAGCAGCGGTTTGGGGGATCACAGAGAACTGGTCAACCCACACATCCTCAAAGCAGCTGGCAAGAACCCAAGCATGAGGAAATAGGAAAGGAAAGGAAACTAGCATTGGCTGAGCGCCTACTGTATGCCAGGCTCCATGCGTGTCTAAGGAACATTCCCACAACCTAACTTCTCAGGACATTTGAAAGAGCTGCAGGTTCCCTGATCCAGCAACGCAAACAGGGGTGCATGGCAGAGGCCGAAATAACAGCCCAAATCTAGAGCCCAAGGCCTTTCTGCTCCCGTCACGTGGCTGGAAGGAAACCAAGGGCAGCATCCGCCTGAGTTTTCCTCTCCTGTGCTCCCCGCTTGACCTACTGCAGACACTCAGACCAGCATGCCCTTGACTGGGACATGACCCACGTGTGGCCTTAATTGCATTAACTCGTATTTTCAGCAGTGGTTGCCAATTAGAACCAGGAGAGGCTTTTTTTTTTTAAATACCAATGCTTGCCCTCCAGCCAGGATCCCTAGGACATTGGTGCTTTTTTTTTTTTTCCAGCTGGGTTAGGATTCATCATTCTGACCATTTTATTTTATTTTAAGATTTTATTTACTTATTTGACAGAGCATAGGTAGGCAGAGAGGCAGGCAGAGAGAGAGAGAGAGGAGGAAGCAAGTCCCCCTGCTAAGCAGAGAGCCGATGTAGGGCTCGATGCCAGGACCCTGGGATCATGACCTGAGCCAAAGGCAGAGGCTTTAACCCACTGAGCCACCCAGGCACCCCATTCTGACCATTTTAAAGTGCATAATTCAGTGGTTTTTGGCAATGTTGTATATATGCCACCACTGTCTCATTACACATCAGAACATTTCCATCATCCCAAAAGGAAACCCTCTACTCCCAATTCCGCATCCCCCCCCCACCCGCCAGTCCCTGGAAACCACAAGTCACTTCCCATCCCTGTGGATTTGCCCATTTGGGACATTTCCCACGAATGGAACCATACAGTGTATGACCTTGTGTGACCGAGACACCAGTATTTCCTTAAAGCCCCTCAGGGGCACCAAACACACATGTCCAGCTCTGACAGCTCTGTGCCAGGCCAGCAGCTCCCCAACTTCAGTGGGCTTGCTCCTCAGAAGCTGCTGGAGGGCTTGTTAAAACACGGACTGCCAGGCCCTGCCTCCAGAGCATCTGATTCAGCAGTCTAGGCTGGGGCCTGAAAATCTCCATTTCTAACCCGTTCCCAGGACATCTCGATACCGCTGTTCCAGGCGCCTGACTTTGAGAACCGCTGCACTAGACAGAGAGTATGAAGGTCAAGAGAGTGAATTCGTTTCACACACACAGACACTTTCTCCCTCCCTTTAGGCAGACCTCCTATGTCACTCTCCTGACTCTCTGGGACATCCCTAAAGCACCACCCCCCTTGCCCCCCACCAGTGTGCCATCTAACCAACCTTGACATGAGCTCCCCAGGAAGACCCTGAGAGGACACAGGCTCAACCCTTCCCTCAAATCCCAGAGCTCTTAGATCCTACAGTTAGCCCAGACAGGGGAAACCGGCAGACGTCTTTGATCATTGTATCAGTCACCAGGCCCACAAATACTCCCTGATTTCCCTCATGTGAATCAAAGAGCGCCGATTATGGGGGGGGGCGGGTAAGGCCCCTGGGGTTATTCTATCAGGAATTACTCATATAAAGACCTGACCATCTACCAACTTCTCCATTAGCTGATTCCTGAGGCGTTGTTTTAGGATTATGTGCGATGGGGTGTGTCAGGCGCTCAGGACATTGTGGGAACCCAACATGTGCTCTCCCCTCCCTTTGCTGACAAGACTTAATACCTCCTCAAGGAAATTCTCACTTGGTAGCTTCAAGATGAAAAGCTATTTGGGAGTGGCCAACATTTGGGATTTGTGTTGTGACATAAGGAACAGCCTAAAACTAGATGAGTTCCTGCAAGCTCTCCCAGAATGACCGTCTTCCAGGAGACCCACACTCCTTCCCCAAACAGCCTTCTCCCACCAGGTCTAGCCAGCCCGAGAAGCCTTCCCCAAATCTAATTTTGTCTGATGGTGCCCTCTTGTGGCCACACAGAAATCCTACATGTGACTTTCTTGTTTTTCGTTTTTTTATTTTTGGACCAATTACTAGGGATAGACAGCTGTTGGCTTCCCCTGACTCCTAACAACCAAAAGCCAAAAGCTAAATTTTCATGAATCTTGTGAACCATTTTTAAGCACAGCCATTGTTGAAAATTCAGTATGTAAACATAGTTACATAGATCATATTGAAAACAAAGTTAATACATACTGGAAAGCAGCCACTCTCTAATTACTTAACTGCTTTATTTGTTCTCAGGCTTATTTCAATCTATTGTCTCTATATTATCGAGGCATTGCCACACGATGGTCTGCTACTACACACCTCTTCCCAGTTCTGCGTTCGGTTGTGTCACGTTGGTAGCTAGAAACTGGGCTTGGTGGGAGTCCTGACGCCGTGGAAACAAGCCAACTCCTTCAAAGAGCTGGTTGTTAATCATTTACCAGCACGCCGTTCTAACAGCCTTGCCCAATGTGAGCTCCCAGGACGTAGGAAGGGATCAGACATTCCTGTGGACTCAGTAAGGGCTGGGGAAGGTCTAGGACTATGCTGTCCAATAACACACTAGCCACTGGCCACATGGTGGGTATTTAAGCCTAAACTTAAATAAATGAAACAACATTAAAAATTCAGTTCATCAGTGACACTAGTCACATGTCCAGTGTTCAGTAGCCACAGATGGCCACCTCATTGGACAACACCGATACAAAACATTTCCATCATCAGAAAGTTCTTACAGTACAGAGTTGGCTAGAAACGGTGCTATCAATTCATGAAAGTCACTTAGCACAGTTACTATTATTCTTTTCTGTACCTACTGCCCCCCACATAACTCAAAAAAATGTATAGAATATCTCTTGTATAGATGTTGATCAAAGACTACAAGCTTGCAGTTAGCATGAATGAGTTCTGGGGATCGAATACACAGCATAGAGATCATGGGCAATAATCCTGTATTCTATACTTCAAAGTTGCTAAGAGAATAGATCTTAAATGTTCTCCCAGCAAAAAAGAAATGATCATTATATGACACAGTGGAGGTGTTTGCTAGTGCTACGGTGGTAACTGTGTTGCAATATAGTGATACAGTGTGTTAAAAATACATAAACATGTTGCATGCCACACACTTATACCATGTTACTGTCAATCGTATCTTAATTTAAAAAACAAACAGTATTGCAAGAACATCTGCTTTGTGCCAAGCACTTGCTAGGCCTAAAGATGAATAGGAAGAGGAAAAAGAGAGTTCACGTACAAATTTTTAAAGCCCAAGATTGAGGGGTGGTAGGAGCAAAAAGAAAGGACACTTAATCCTACACGAGGGTGCCAACAAGAGTAGACGGTGCCTACAGCCAGATACAGGAAGTTGCGAGATGGCTGCTCAGCGGCAGGGAGCACGGGGAGAGGTAACGCGGTGTGAATGGATGTGACAATGTCCGGGAGAAGCCAGGCAGCTCTGAACATCAGGTTGTGAGGTGCGTGGGTAGCAGGGACGGCCGTGCTGTGGGGATGGACGGTGAGCACATCATGGAAGACCAGGTCAGCCAGAGGGGCTCAGACCCCACCTGAGGAAAACAGCCACAGAAGCTTGACCTGGGGACAAATGGTAGCACTGGCCCTTCGGACAGTCAGGCTGCGACAGAGGTGAGATGGAGGGGACCTAGGAATCATGGTGGCAGTTATGACGGAATATTTAGAGAGACAAGGTGAGCATGTGGGCACACACTAAAAAAGAGGAAGAGAATCATGAAATACATAAAGGGGGTCAAATGAGCGGGATTTGCCAGCGGATGGGCAGTAAGGGTTAAGGAAGATGGATGCAGCACGGATGACCCCAGATTTTCAAGTATGATGGGGGACCCCTTAGCCTCTTGGTGAAATAAATGCAAACAGCAGGACACCCCTTGGGGCATCAGTCCCAAAGCAGAACCATCCTGTGGTTGGTTCCCTGAGACCCACCCAGCCCTGGAGCAGACAAGGAAACAGAAGATCTGCTCCCGGCACAATGGTTGTTGAATCTTCGAGCTGTAGGAACCAGGGGCAGGCAGTCGGGACCTCTGGAGGCACAGAGAGGCCTTGGGGTCAGATTTCAGGCTGTGGGAAGGTAACAGGACCCCGGGATGGAATTTTAAGTTAGCAGGTCCCCAGGGGTTTATGTTGAAGGCTCTCCCCACAGCGGGGTAGGGTAGGGATCACATTTTTTCCTCCGTGCGGTATTACACCCACGACTGACTTAGCTATATCCCTGCAGGAGGAAGAGGAGAAGAACAATCTAGAAAACTGGGAGTGGTAAGAAGCCAAGGACAGCTTACAGAAGTCGTGGAGCCCAAGCAAATTCAAACAAGTTAAACGTTCGGCCAAGAGGCATTTCCTGGGACCTCTTGGGTTTTGGAAAACTCTGCCGTCGCATGCTGACCCACCGGACCACTGCAAACTCAGGACACAGCCAGCTCCGTAGTACCAACGAGTGGACCCGACCGGCTTCTGGGCAGCAGATCCAGGGTCACTGGAGGGACAGGAAGCAACAGCCGGAACTGTGGGTCTTATTTTTGCGTCGTTGTGGTCATTCAAGCTTGAACAGCATGGGACTCTCCACACCACACACGGTACAGAGAAAAGTAGCTTCGTGTTAATTTCACCCTAACTTCCCAGTTTAGGAAAACCCTAGCACGAATGTAAATAGACACACACACACAGTCCCCTCCCTATGGAACTGGGGGATGGACACAGATCCTTCCCCTGCCGCTGGTTGATTAGCCCATTCTCCGGGCCACGTCCTGTAATGAACTCGGAATCTTTTTGTCCTTGGCTCAGTCCTCTAAACTAGCCCCCTTCCACAGACCCTTCGATCTGAATTTCTAAACAGAAGCCACAGCAGCACTCTTTGGGTAACACCGACAGAGGGCAACCCTCTGGGGATCCCAGAGCTTCGGCATTTAGGATTATTTACTGGAAGTACATTGGGAAAAGACGGGAAAACTAAGTCCAAGGTCACGAACTGTGCCTAATAAAAAGCTCTATGTGTACCTTACTAACACGCCCCCTCCCAAGTTAGTTTCTGTGGGATTGCGTTAAGTGATGATCTGAATTGGGTCTGTACCAATGTGATGTTCACAGACACATCACATGCAAATGCCTACATTTCCCAATCAGCGTCATAAAAGCACTGATAAAGGACAGAAAAGCACTGATAAAGGATCACTGCATTTGATGTTTAGGGATGGAAGGAAGAAGGAAGTGTGGTGCAGGGAGGGTGATCCCATGGACAGAAGGTAACCTGGAAAAGTTCACTCCTTAGTAGCCGTCAAACTGTTAGCAACGCACTTAGCAAATCAGATTTACCTGGAGGCCAGGTTGAGGGTGGGCAGGGGGGGTGCATCGCGGGTCTCTGAGTCAGCAGGTGCTGGCCGAGGACTTACACTGGTAAAAAGTTCCAGGTGATGCCACTGAGGCTGGTCTTGAGACCACACTTTGAGAACCTCTGGGTTCTAGGCCTCCATGCCCATCCACTCGCAAAAACCAGGTGATTAAGGAAACTAATGAAAGTTTAAAACCAGCCCGTTTGCATTTCTGAATTCAGGCCAGAAAAGTGTTATTTTAAAAATGGACAGGTATCAGCAGGTCCATATCCAGATGAAAGAACCATTTTCTGCCTTGTCTGTGACTAACCAGGTACAATGCCCATTCCAGTGTCCACTTCCCCATGCCCCCAAGTACATGTTTTCTGGGTTGAGAAGAATCTCAGACCAGAAAAAAAAAATTTTTTTTAGTGTTACTTCTCTTGAGTAAAATTGAACTGAATTATCATGACTCACTGTGGGGGGTGGGGTGCATGAGAACAAATGTCTTAAATAATAATTAAGATGTTATTTACCTTCTTCATGCTCATTCTAAGTGTATGGTGGAGTTTCCAAAAACTACATGTTATGTGATGATGTCATCTCTCTGATGTTAACACGTAATGAGTTTATTACTGTTGTTTATGAGAGAACTAATAAATAATATTAATAAATAATATTTTTAAACTTTCTTGGTTTTAATATCTAAATGTGGTAAGTATCCCTGATAGTACCTACACAGATGAAAGCAGATAAAAGCTCTTTAGGATTCTCAATAGTCTTCTTTTTCTTTCTTTCTTAGGGAGATAGAGCCCAGGAAGGGGCAGAGGGAGAGGGAGAGAGAGAATCCTAAGCAGGCTCCATGCTGGGCATAGAGCTCGATGCCATGACCAGAGCTCCATCCCATGACCCTGAGATCATAACCCGAGTGAAAATCGAGAGCTGGGCGTTCACCCAACTGGGCCACCCAGGCGCCCCGCCTCGATACTTTTTAATAATGTACAGAGGTCCTGACAAATGGGTAACAAACACATCGTCATTGGTCATTCCAGAAATCCAAATCAAAACCACAATGTGATACCCCTCCATAGCCATTAAGATGACTCTCGGCCAAAAGGAGAATAACAAATGTGGGCAAGGATGTAAAGAAACAGGAATTCTCGTACATTCCTGGTGGAAATGTAATAGGTGCGGACACTGTGGAGAACAGTCTGGGGATTCCTCAAAACATTAAACATACAATTACCACGACCTGTCAATTCCAAGGGATACCCAAGAGAGATGAAAACGTACGTCCACACAGAAACTTGTAAGTGACTATTTCTAAAAGCACGATTGCCAGACAGCCAAGAGGTGACAACAGCCCAGGTGCCCATCAATGAAGAAATGGGCTGGTAATTTGTGGTCTCTCCACACACTGCAATGTTATTCAGCCATGAAAAGGAATACAATACTGATACAGTATGGATACGTGGTGCAATGTGGATGAGTTTCAGAAACATCATGCTAAGGGAAAGAAGCCAGGCACAAAGGGTCCCATGTTATAGGATTCCTTTTATATGATACACCCAGAGTAGGCAGATCCATCGAGGCAGAAAGTAAATGAGAGGTTGGACACCTGGGTGGCTCAGTGGGTTAAAGCCTCTGCCTTCGGTTCAGGTCGTGATCCCAGGGTCCTGGGATTGAGCCCCGCATCGGGCTCTCTGCTCAGCAGGGAGCCTGCTTCCACCTCTCACTCTGCCTGCCTCTCTGCCTACTTGTGATCTCTGTCTGTCAAATAAATAAATAAAATCTTAAAAAAAAAACAACACAGAATAAAAAACAAACCGAGAGTTGATGGAGGGAGGTGGGTAGAAGATGGGCATTAAGGAGGGCATTTATGATGAGCACTGGGTGTTGTATGTAAGTGATGAAGCACTGTATTCTACTGAAACCATTATATGTTAACTAACCAGAATTTAAATAAAAATTCAATAGAAAAAATATATTTCTATAATAACATTAAAAAAATAAAGTAACGTAAGACCTGGGTGGCTCAGTGGGTTAAGCCTCTGCCTTCGGTTCAGGTCGTGATCCCAGGGTCCTGGGATCGAGCCCCGCATCGGGCTCTCTGCTCAACGGGGAGCCTGCTTCTTCCTCTCTCTCTCTGCCTGCCTCTCTGCCTACTTGTGATCTCTGTCTGTCAAATAAGTAAATAAAATCTTTGGTTTAAAAAAAAATGAGAGGTTAACTGGGGCAGCAGAGTGATTATTTCACATTTTACACAACACCCTTGTGAATGCACCAAATGCCACTGAAGTCCACACTTTTTATGGTTATGTGAATTTCACTTCAATTAAAAGAAATAAACAACAAAAAAAAGAGATCCTGAAACCCAACTATTTGAGCATAGCGGGTCCCAACCATGGCTCTCAAAGAATGGTCCTCAGTTCACAATAGAGGACCCCCCAGGGGTGCAGGCAAAGGAGCACCCCCCAAGATTTCTTCAGTCTGAGGGGTTCAGATGAGGGCTCCTGTCTGCACTGTGGCCGGAGGCTGGAAGGCCTGAGCCTTGACCCCACCTCTGGACCCAAGAGTAGAACCAACCTCCCTCATTGGTTGCTTGAGGTGGACAGAAGAGTGAGCCGCGAGAGAAAAGGAGGTCATTGCCGAGAGAAGGGAGCACAGACGAAGGGGAAGCAGCCACACCTTTCTCTGTGCCTTTGCTTCTAGGCAGTATTATTCTATTATGGGAGAGCCTCGATTTTCACATCAGTCATACCCTTAGAAAGCTTAGGAGGATCTAGGTCAAAGCTCTGTCATGGGAGCAGGAGAGAAAAAATGTGGACAAGTAGATTTGTAGCGCCAGCATCTGGGAGTTTTTAAGGATGTCGAAAGGCCTTCTGAGGTTCTTCTGACCATGTGCTGGGCTGTCCAGGCGGAACGGGGACGCACACTTGGAGTGGAAGGGAATTGGAGCAGGAGTGTTGAGCGGGGGTTGGGCCAAGGCATCAAGATGTGATGGTCAGTTGACTTGTGAGCCAGACCCAAGGGACTGGAGGCTCCTCCCCGCTCCTCTGTCCTTGGAATGTGAGTTCTGCATGGCTCTCCTCTGAGAGGCTGCTCCAAGGACACAGCCTCAGATAGGGATGTGGTGTGGAGGACATCTGCTCAGTATCTGGGACTGACCCAGTTAAGGCTTCTCTCTGAACTTCCAAGATGCAGTGGGTGGGTGGGCGTGGCATCCACCAGGCTTGCTGTCCCCACCCCCAGCCACGTCTTGTGTGTAAATTCCCTTGTTTATTAAAACTGCCACCTACCAGCCTGGGGCCACCTGCCTTCTTCTTCAGTCCCTCCCTGCCCTCCTCCAACAGACAGACGCTGGTTTCAGATTTCCTTGGAGAAGCTCCAGAAGAGGTTGCAAACTAGCAAAGGGTGAGCCAGCCAGGGAACTGGAGAAATGAGCCCTGGGAATGAGACATCGCAGGGAAATCCTGGGTCAGCCAGGGACCTCTGTGTGGGGAGGGGTGGCCCACACGTCAGATGCTTGTTTGTAGGACTACAGGACCCCCCCGCTTCCCCTTCCGAACATACCAGCTGTTCTCAGGGGCTTGTTTGAGGAAGTGCACGCAGTTCTCTGCAGCAGAGAAGGGAAGCAAGGCGGCAACGGGCTGGCCTCTGGCACAGGCCTTTCTGTGGCCGGCGAAGCCCAGCTCGAGGCTGAAGCTGGAGTCAGGAAGCTAGAGCTATCAGGGGAGGATGCGCTGGTGCCCACCACTCTGCTGGCTTCGGGGCCGGCAGATGAGGCGGGAGGGCAGGGTGAGCATAGAGGTCTTAGGCAGCCCTGGGAGGTGAGCCAGTAAGTGTCTGGCTCTTGATCTCATCTCAGGTTTTGATCTTAGGGTTATGTGTTCAAGCCCTGCCTTGGGCTCCATGCTGGGTGTGGAGCCTACTTAAAAAAAAAAAAAAAAAAAAAAAAAAAAAAAAGGTCTTATACCCTTTGTAAAAAGCTTGGAGGGTTCCAGATGC